TAATTAAGATAAACCACATATAATTAACTAGTATTTTTATCTTATATATAAAAGTTGCTCAACTTTCTCTATATGATTGACACATCAGCATTGGATAGATTGACACCTGTCCTTAAATTTTAATTAATAAAATTTAATATTAAATTTGAAAGCACTTAAAGAATATGAAAAGTTTGTTTTATTAATTGACTCTTAATTAAAATTTATATTAATGTTAAACAAAAATTTATGTTATAACTAATTAAAAATATTGATAGATATTCGACCAAAAAAAGATATGTATTTAATATTTATATAACTGTAGATTAGTTAATAATATTTAGATTACTTAATAATATTCAAGATGTATTTTAAATTAATTTTTTAAAATTATTTATAAATAAATACTGACAAGTATCAAATGAAATGATGATTATATTAATTTTATTTTTTAGTTAATTGACTATCAACTAATCTTTCTGTAAATGTTAAACAAAAAATTATGTTATAACTAATTAAAAATATTGAATGATATTTATTAATCTTAATATAACTTTAAATTATTAAATAATATTCAATATGTATTAATATTTTATAATTTTTTAGAATAAAATATTAAAAAGTAAGTAAGTAACAAGTGATGATTATATTAATTTTTATAAAAATATAAAAAAAAGTTTGAAATTTTGAAAAGAAAAACTCGCACGTAACGTGCAGATATTCACCTAGTATATATGATTTTAGGTAAACTCTCCCCATCATGCTGCTACATCAGCATTTCAATGGAGGACACATGTCCTTTCAACTAATTAATAAATCATAAATTTTAAAATAAAAAATTAAAAACTAATTAATACCACTATTTCTAACTTAACTATTCTATTTAATGTTTGTTTCATATGTATTTATGTTCATAACTATTAAGTTACATTAATATTAAGGTTTTTCACATTCCTAACAAAAATAAATAAACAACATTTCTAACTTTTTAGTATTCGTCTAAAACTTTTTAATAATTTTTTATACTAACTTGATACTTTTCTTCCGGCTTATCCTCATCATAAACACTTTTTTCGAAGCTTGTTGTATGAAAAAATGTAAAGATATAGCGTTATCTTCATTCAAAGATTTGGCGGTTTTTATGGGTCAAATATAATATTATTATAGCTGCATTTTATTGTGAAACATAAAGTATGAGGTGGTTCTTGCAGAATCAAGGCAATTGTACATGTCATAAATTTGAGAACATTAAAAATTGGAGGTAATTATATGTTTTCAAGCAATTCAACCAAAAAAATATGATTTTTATGTACGTCTTTTTTACTTATAACATGTTTATGATTTCTAAAATAGTAGAATAATTTTCCTAATTACCATATTTCAAATCCTTTAAAAAGTTATTTGTTTTACAAAGAATTTATTTTTAAAAAACCTAATACTAACCAATCAAACAAATTATCATATTCTTATAATTAACTATATATATATATATATCAACACAAACATATTTTTAAAAATATTATGTGAAACAAAACCTATGCGTATGCGCGGGTACAAGTCTAGTTTGAATAATAGAACAAGGCAAAATGGCTATCCACAGCCGCCTGGGACACCATGCAACATACGACTCAAGATTTGACCTTTTTATATTATTTTAGGGAACATTTTAATCACTTTTATAAACTTTAATATACAGTAGAACCTCTATAAATTAATACTCGATAAACTAATAATCATTATAAATTAATAAATTTTGTTGGTCCCAAGTCGGGCCAATGTAAAAATCTATCAAATTCGATAAGATAATAAGATAATAATTTTTTTTGAAACCCTTATGTAAATATATGGTCCCAACAAAAACATAAATTAATAATTATATAAATTTATGAAAATATATGTAAATTTAATATTCTAAAATATACCTAATGTGTTTGTTTTTAGTTAAAGGTTAAATTTCATTAGTTCTCATCTCTCTAATTATTATATCGGTAGTTTTTATTGCTGTTTTACTATATACATTCAAAATTTATGATGATTTTTTAGTGATAATTGATTTTCTTACATGTAAATGTTTTTGAATGTATTTTAGTGTTATCTTCAATTTTATCATCAATAATATTAATAGTAGCCATATTTTTTAAAAAAATTTAAATTTATGAACATTTATACTTTTATATAGACAATCCAATATGGTGAAAACCTATTTTATTGTGATAGTTATGATTTTTAATCATAAATTATATTATGAGATTTGTTAAAATTTTAAAATATAATATTATTTCAAATAAATTTTTTAAAAATTATATGCGCAAAGCAATTTTTATCTATAAATTAATAATTATTAATTTATAAATAAATTAATATTACGATAAATTAATAAAATATCATGGTCCCAACATTATTAATTTATAGAGGTTTTACTGTATATCCGGAAACAAGAATGATATAATTCATTATATGGTGAATACATTCATCAGAATGTTTTGTCTCATATAGTATAACCTTCAATAGAAACGAGATCCACTTCATATTCAAAACAGATCATATCACTTAGAAATCTTATCATTTTCAACACACACGCATACAATATATGCTTTACGTGAAATGATAATTAATTACGAATTATAAATCATCATTATACTCCATATATACTCTTGACGTTCAAAATTTCAACTTGTCACCTTTTAGTTATTTTTCCCCAACCTTTCTAGTTTAAATTAAAACCAATTTTGACACAAGTTGTGCTAATTTTATAAGACATTAAGTATCTATCTTCGAACAAGATTCGAACTCAAACCTAAAACCGTCAAAACAATTAAAGTTTCTTATCATAATTATATACATCTTGCGAGTGTTTCTTTGAGAAAATACGATGAATAACTAAATGTGATTATAAGACTATATATATTGTCGTGTAACCTTAGCCTAAATATTGGGAAAGGGGATCCAAATCTTAAAGTTTTGTATATGTCCTTTCGCAGATTTTTGAATTTTTGACATAATAGTCTAGTGGTCGAGTTTGTTACGTGACTATCTTTTTCTTATAAAATTTTGTAATTTTTTAATCTGATTTTTGTAGATAAACATTGTAATCCATTCGTTAAAGAATACACGATTTGGTGGTTGATTATGACATCGAAGATTGAAATAATATATATATAGACTATAGTCCACGTTGATAATGAAATATAGACCGAGACACTTGGGATCGTCCATTAATATTTATGTATAGGTAACGAAAAATTAGTTACTCATACATATATAATATATAGAAAAATAAAAGAGTGTAAGTGGGACCCACTTGTGACCACTAGGACGAAACATTTGCGTGACGTGGGCTACTAATCTACTTGGTAATTAAATGAAAGACAAATATCCGTCTGGGATAGTAATGCAGGATCGAATAAGATAGGCTTTAAAGGTTAAAAGGGTTATTATTACACGGAGGTTTGGTTTTTGTTTGAATCCTAACTGTAATTATGTGGGCCCTATGTTAAATCTGACGTGGAATTATCATCGGATAGATAAGTATAAATCTGTTCTTTTGTCGAAGTAGAAGAAAAAAAAATTCTTTAAACCACCGGTGACGAGATCTCCAGACAGCCATCTCAATTATCATAAAACAACAAAAGAGGCAACCGATTATAATTGTAATCAATTACATTTAGCTATTTGCATGGAAAATCTGAGATATATGACTTACATTATTAGATATTAGTCTTACTTCAATTGAAAAGTAGGATATAACTTAGTTTTCAAGCCACCGATTTGTTAACAAACTACGAAATTTGTTTTTTATTCTTTCGTATAACTCCAAAAAGTTTTTTTTAACTATATTGAAAATATTAAAAGATCTATTAAAAAAGAGGTTGTAGTCTCCTAAATATTATGTATCAAGATGACCATGATATGTAACCTAATCATTTGCATTAGTGATATCACTGTAACTTTGTGTTACCATCCGTGTTTAAACCCACAAATTACTGAAACAAAATGTTATGTAGTGAGATGTGATGGTAATTACTAGTATTAGAGTCGCATGTATTTCTAATTTATTTAGGCCAAGTCCCGTGGAAGGTAGAGCTTTAATTACGTCATGAATGCGGCAACTTGGCTTGACTTTCTTTAACAAGACGAAACCAATAGAGCAAAGATGTGGACTAAGAAATCTCATCACAATCTGTTGGACAAAAAAAAAAAAAAAAATCTCATCACAATCTTACATTATGAAGAAAATAAACGCTTCAACATAAGAAAGTATATTCATATACAATGCCTTTTTGTTTACAAAGAAAAAGAAGCTCCGGTTTGTACTCTTGAAAAACTTTTATATGCAAAATGAAGTTTACAAATATAAGTTATATCATATTTAATTTATTGTTTGTCGACCAAATGCATAATTAATTAATTATCTATCATTTTTAGCTTATATTAGTTTTCAAAATAAGAATATAATATAAATTAAGAATCTAATATAAATCTAGTTGCACAATTATTTCATAAATTTTCATTGTATTTGACATAATTGTCACTCTCAATTCTTTCTCTTAAATTCAAATGTGCTATTTTCATCATCAAAAAGATCTATATCACCAAAATTATATTTCCATTTTTTTCATTATCTTCTAAACTTCTCCTAATTTTATTCACATAAACTATTTAACATTTGATATTTCTTACTTTTGATATTAATGGTTCTCAGAAACAAAATTTTCAAATATTGTTGCCTCCCCCCCCCCAATATTATGGATGAGCTACCTAGCCAATAACAAGAAAAAAAAATGATAACGGAAATATAATTAAATAATATAGTTTTTTGTAATTAGTTTTTAAATAAAATAGACTTGTGACGTTTCGAAGTCACCCGGAGAAAGCAAAGAGATTAGACAGACTCAAAATAAGTTCTATCTATAATCCCTTCTCAGAATAGAGAAAGAGATATACACTCCATAAACCTATACATACATTACCTTATATGTATAGCCATCTCCCTCTCTCTCTTTCCTTATATATAACTCCAAAACAATCATTGATCCAAACCCAAAACCCCATTTAACAGAATTTTCTTTTAGTGGAATCTTCTTTGTCTCGAAAATAAAAGAAATGGGATTAAGTTTTAGAGATAAAGCCTGGATTTTTGTGGCGATTCTTTGTTGTTCATCATTGAATTTTTCAGTAAAAGCTACAGTTTCTTATGATCGAAAAGCTGTGATCATCAATGGGCAAAGAAGAATCCTTCTCTCTGGTTCCATTCACTATCCACGAAGCACCCCTGAGGTATATACAAATCAATCAATTTCTTTTCAATATAATGTTTCTTCTACATGCAGAACCTAATGTGAAATTTTCAATGGTTTTATAACTTCTGATTAAAGTTTCATTCTTTCTCTCTGTTTTCTGAAATTGATTGGCTTAATTTGTTTCTTGTGCAATGTAGTTTTTTTACCCAAGCTTTTCGCTTCACATGGGTTTTTGCTTATTATTTACATAACCTATATTTAAATTTTGTTTTTTATTCAAAAACAATAAATGCATGATTCATTGAATGCTCTGTTTTTGTGTAGATGTGGCCTGGTCTTATACAGAAAGCCAAAGAAGGAGGCTTGGATGTTGTAGAGACTTATGTTTTTTGGAATGGCCACGAACCTTCTCCTGGAAATGTAAAAAAAATATAATATCAAACCTTTTATTACTTAATTTTCTTCTTTCACAAGTCACATATATAATCTTCGTTTTTTTTCTTATTATTTGTTGTTGTCCAGTATTATTTTGGAGACAGGTATGATTTGGTTAAGTTTATCAAATTGGTTCACCAAGCTGGTCTTTATGTCAATCTCAGAATTGGCCCTTATGTCTGTGCTGAATGGAATTTCGGGTAAATAAAATTTTACTTACTTCCCTTTTTTCCTGTAAATGATTGGTTATCAATATTTTTATGATGGTTTTCTAGGGGATTTCCGGTTTGGCTCAAATTTGTTCCTGGTATGGCATTTAGGACGGATAATGAACCCTTCAAGGTTTAAACTCTAAATAAAACTCACTTTTCCCTCTCATAATTTTTAATTTTCTTATATGATGGTTAATATTAATTGTAATTTCACATTGAAAAGGCTGCAATGAAAAAATTCACTGAGAAGATTGTATGGATGATGAAAGCAGAAAAGTTGTTTCAAACACAAGGGGGACCCATCATTCTTGCACAGGTTTGTTTTATATATTGTGTTTGTTACATTAAATATCATTGACGAACCATTAGACATGGATAGCTCAAATTAAAACCTTTATAACAATGTAAAATGAAAATAATAAAAATGGACAGATTGAGAATGAGTATGGACCAGTGGAATGGGAGATTGGAGCACCAGGAAAGGCTTACACAAAATGGGTAGCTCAAATGGCATTAGGACTCTCAACAGGTGTTCCATGGATTATGTGCAAGCAAGAAGATGCTCCTTCTCCTATTGTATGTTCTTTCCTTTCCTTCTTTCTAGTTATTGATATCTTGGCAAAAAAGGACTTTGTTTTTGTTATAGAAAAAAAATATGTTTGGAAAAATCTGGAAATTCTCCTTCTTTATGAGTGTTTAAAACATGTTTTGGTTTGATGTAAGAAGAATATGAACCCAACCTGTACGAATTTGGTTTTGACTAGAACTGTTTTTTTTTTTTAGTTAAAGACTGGAGACTAGGATTACATTATCGAATTTTTTCATTAACTTAAACCATCTTTATAAATAGCGTGATAATTTTTGGTTTGATTTTCGGTTTCGGGTTTGTTGGTTTTAAAATCAATAGGTGTACGGTTAGATTTTTACTGTATGTTGAATTCTTCTTGTTTATTCATCTTTTTATGATAACATTTTCCTAATCCAAATTATAGATAGACACATGCAATGGTTATTACTGTGAGAATTTCAAACCAAACTCAAGCAACAAGCCCAAGATGTGGACAGAGAATTGGACTGGTTGGTAAGTCACAACATCAATATGCCTAGAATATCAAATTACATTTCTTTTCAACTAAATACAAATTATCGATTGTAAGAGAACAACCTTTTAATTTTTTAACTTCAAAAACAACTTTGTAAATCAAATCTCAGGTACACAGAGTTTGGAGGTGCTGTACCATACAGACCAGTCGAAGATATTGCGTACTCCGTTGCACGATTCATACAAAACGGAGGTTCTTTCGTCAATTACTATATGGTAAATAAAATAAAACAGAGTTACATATCAATGCACAACGATTTTTGGTTCGGTTTTAGATTAATTTTCCGCTCAAATTGTGCATATAGTATCATGGAGGGACGAATTTTGACAGAACAGCCGGTGAATTCATGGCCTCAAGCTATGACTACGACGCTCCTCTAGATGAATACGGTACTAACCAAAACTCAAAAAAACGCAATAAAATCTGTCTGAATGATTAACTAATCTTGATTCGGTTTACTTCTTAAAGGCTTAACAAGAGAACCAAAGTACAGTCACTTGAAAGCATTGCATAAAGTCATCAAACTCAGCGAGCCAGCTTTGGTCTCTGCTGATGCAACCGTCACATCGCTTGGAGCTAAACAAGAAGTAAAGATCAAAGCTTTTATAACTTGTAGTTATGTAATCTATCAGTTGAGAAAGAAACCTACTGATCATTTTGAATGTTGCTTTCAGGCTCATGTGTTCTGGTCTAAATCCTCTTGTGCTGCGTTTCTATCGAACAACGATGCGAATTCTGCAGCGAGAGTTATGTTTCGTGGATTCCCATATGATTTGCCTCCTTGGTCAGTCAGTATTCTACCTGATTGCAAAACAGAATATTACAACACCGCAAAGGTAAAGAAAAACAAAAATAATTATGTCAAAAGAAAGTTAATTACCTTCTTTTAAGATTGAATTGATCTTTGTGTTGTTGACTAAAACAGGTTAACGCACCAAGAGTACACAGGAATATGGTTCCAACTGGTACCAGATTCTCTTGGGAATCATACAACGAAGCGGCTCCTTCTGCGAATGAAGCTGGTACGTTTGCAAAAAACGGGCTAGTGGAACAGATAAGCATGACTTGGGACAAGACTGACTATTTCTGGTATCTGACAGAGTAAGTATAACTTTGAAACTATATCTTGACTTGTGTCAATCTCTAAAATTCCTCCTGAGGAAACAAACTCACGGTTTATTTGCATTGCTGGATATTTTTACTTTAGCATTACAATTGGTGCTGGAGAGAGGTTTTTGAAGACTGGTGATTACCCTCTTCTTACAATATGGTCAGCTGGACATGCTCTTCATGTGTTTGTCAATGGTCAGCTTGCAGGTAATACAAGAGAAACAATCGAAGCTTCTCTTCTCTTGTTTCTAGTTCTTGTAACTTGACAACATCTGTTGATATTTCTCTGTTTCCAGGAAGTGCTTATGGAGGACTTAGCCACACTAAACTAACCTTTAGCCAGAAGATCAAACTACATGCAGGTGTTAACAAGCTTGCTCTCTTGAGTGTTGCAGTGGGTCTACCGGTTAGTTCCTGATGAGATAATCCTATCTCTTGTAATAGCAGTTTTTTGTCCGCAGAAGATAATTAGATCTTTGAGCTTTATGGTTCTTGGTTTGGTTGCAGAATGTCGGTACACACTTTGAGAAGTGGAATAAAGGGGTTCTTGGACCGGTCACACTGAAAGGAGTTAACTCGGGAACATGGGAAATGTCAAAATGGAAATGGTCTTATAAGGTCCTCCCTGAAATTCAAAACCAACTCTCAAGTTTTGAGTTTCCTGGTAACAACAAACTAATCATAACAATGAATTTTAAATGTGATTTTGAACAGATTGGTGTTAAGGGTGAAGGTTTGAGTCTTCATACCGACAGTTCCACCGTGAGATGGAATCAAGGATCATTAGTGGTCAAGAAGCAACCATTGACCTGGTACAAGGTAAGAGAAATACACAAGAATCAAACATCATCTCCATAAACAAATATGATAAAATGAACAAATGAACATAACTTTTCTCTTTCTATTGCTGTCTACTTTTACCACACCGGCAGGAAACGAACCATTGGCTTTGGACATGAACACAATGGGGAAAGGTCAAGTTTGGATAAACGGTCGAAACATTGGACGTCATTGGCCTGCTTATAAAGCTCAAGGAAACTGCGGGCGATGCAACTACGCCGGAACTTTCGACGCAAAGAAATGTCTGAGTAATTGCGGCGAAGCTTCTCAAAAATGGTGAGAGGAAAAAACAGCTTCTTCTTTCACTTTTCATCTATTTAGTGCAAATCTTGATTCAGAGAGCTCTGTCTCTATTTCTCTCTTTTTTGCAGGTATCATGTACCTCGTTCATGGCTCAAGTCTCAGAACCTTATAGTTGTGTTTGAAGAGTGGGGTGGTGATCCTAATGGAATCTCCCTGGTCAAAAGAACATGAAGCTTCTTCTGATTCCGAGTTTACAGGACAGAAGAAAGCTGTTTGATTGTTTTGTCTCTTTTGGCTCTGCTTTGGAGATAAGAGACAGACCTAGATAAAAAAAAAAATTGTGCAGTTATTACAACAATAATTCAACATGTATATTACTGGTTATTCAATAGCCAAATAAAATAATAAATGAGGGTTTAATATTTACATTGCTTCTAGTGAGAGTTCTACATAAGATTTTTTTTCGCTTTGGTGCGTCAATCTTCTCTTCTTGAATTTGAACATTTTTAAATTTTCGATCTTCCAATCGAAAACCTAAGCTATCACAGAATCGCACTTGCAAAAGGCCTAACAATTGGATAAACCCTAATACTTTTCACTATTAATATTTGATTCGACGACCTAGGACTCACTAGACAGTTTACTCGATAAGCAGTCTACAATTTTCAGTTTCGCAAAATCCGATTAAATCAATCGAAAACACTGACTAACCTAAGATACCTTGAAGTACATTAGAGATCACGCCACTTCCATAGAATCTTCACAGCCACTCGAAGTTCCATTGACGGAGGATTCTACCTTCAGCGAAAATGACATCGACGGGATATTCGGATATTTGTTGGACTTTCCCGCCACAGTAAACCCGGATTGAAATGATGGTTTTTGGGCCTTTAGCTAGCCCCAATTAAATAGCTACATAAATTATTAATCCCTAGTTTATCGTCACCGATTAAAAGCGTAAATTAGACGTAGACGATGATGATAACAAGTATATATAAGGGATTCATTCATTTACTTTCAGAGGGTTATAATAGTTTCGAATTTACAAAAAATAGCCCCCTAAACCTAGAGGCATTACCCATTAGCTCGGCCCATTAGTACCGCCATGTCACGAAACTGCCAAAATGGTCACATTAATTACGTAGCTACTAACTAGTCCACTTTACTACCATTAATTAACTGAATTTCCATTTTTTTCCTTCCTATTAACAACGTGTAAATCATTTCCACTTTAATTACCGTCCATCGAAAAGACCAAAATAACCCCAAAGAATTTAGCTTTCTCCGCAAGACGACAGCTTTGGTCAAACACAGTCTTCCCCTAGAAACCTCGCCAGCGAATCCTCGTCCCACTCATACTCACTCGCTACAACCTCGCTTGTACTCCACGCGCCGCCTTTCTCTCCGTTGTAATCGAAACAGCAACCGAACAGACCACTTGCGTCGACACTAGCCATCGCGGAAGCGTTGCTGTCTGAAAACGACGGGCCACAGCTCTCCTCGTTGACGTTGATCGTGATGTAACCGGAAGACGACTGAACAACCACCGGAATCGCGTACGGATCGTCGATAAACCTCACTCTGAAACTCGCCTCGCCGGAAAAGTTAGTTCCTTTGATCTCCGTCGTCGGTGAAGAAGACTCAACGAGCTTCATGATTTCGTCCGGAGTGTACTCGTCGTGATCGTCCTCCTCGGAGACTAGCATCTTCTTCTTCGTCAAGTCTTTCGCCGTCGTATCTCCTCCGTTCACGTCTTCTTTCTTCTTGGTTTCTTCCATTTTCTCTCTCTGTACAACTCTTTGTCAAGAGAGAGAGAGAGAAAAGGAGGCCGTACGTTTTTGTAATTTTTGTTGTGAATCTTCTGCACACTTATATATAGAAAGTGTAGATATACATGATTACGTATAGATACATTTATATAAATATATAACATTTTTACGATAATATCCATGGATACAGTGAATTTGACGACAAAAAAAAAGGGTTTGTCAGTGGGTCCGAATCAGTATGAATTATGTCTAAATCAAATCAATTATCAGCTGTCTGTATAAAGTTATAAACTCTTTTTGTTTAGATATATTTTTTTTAGAAAGGGTAATGTTTGAAAATATGTTGCACGTTTTATTGACTTAAGAATTATTTTAGTTATTACTTTTACCAATAAGTGTCGAATGTTCTCTTTGAGAGAACTCGTGAGGAAATAATTTCATTAGTTTTGCTATCGCCAACAACCATTTCATAATTCATATATGCTCGATTTTTTCTGTAGTTTTAAGAAGAAAAAAAAATCCAGAAAAATGTTAGAAAAGTTAATGAGGAGTTACCAAATTCGGGAAGGTGGTCGGTGAGTAATTTCAAAAAAAAACTGGACTTTTCTTTGAAAAATCCAAAGTGGGTGGATTTTTTCTTTAATGTCCCCATAGAAAGAAAAATAAAAAAGAAAGACAAAATTATTGATGTGAGAAGACGTTCGTAGGCATTGAATTAATTTGAAATAAACAGGGACGTGCCATCTGTTTGGGCAGTGTGTAGAAGAGAGATTCGGACTCTTTTTTCCCTCCCTCTCTCTCTTCCCAATTACTCCATTTTCAGCACTATTTATCTTTACCCATACACATGATTTTTAATATAAATATGTGTCGAACTTATCTTATATATATTACGTGATGCGCATTTTACCAATTAGATTATCAGAAAATGAATTGGCCATTCACCTTTCGTTAAGACTTATCTTGTTTAGTTGGTCTAAATCGAATAGAGAATGTCGAACCGGTCTGTAACTGGAACTGTAAAGAAATGTGTGCTTATGGCTTTTGCATTGAAAACGTGATATGTACATTCAAATTAGATTTTTTTTAAACCAGAATTTGTTTCTTCTAAGATACAATATCTCTTCAACTAACTATTGAACCGGGAATGATATCTCTCAAATTCTGCTTAACCGGTTTCAAGGAGGTAAAGAGTTGCTTGCAGCACAAGGCACCTTTCTTTCCTTTCGTTTTTCTAACTTGCAAAGGGCAATAAAACAACTCCACTGTTCTGTAACCAGCAAAAGACCGTTTCAACGCGAACCAGATCGTAACATGAGCGATGATGACCCGTGCTCGCTCAAGCTTCCGGTAGATAATCTCCTCATCTTTTGCCAGAACCCTTTGCCTCGACCTGAGACTAAGGGACCCGAGTTAGACTGTCTCTCTAACCTTCCTGAACCGGTGAACATTTCAGACACAGAAAGCCCTCTCTCCGTGTCAGGCTCAGAGTCGTAATTCGGAAGCAACGGATACCGAGCCATCCTCCCCGAGCCGTCGCCACCACAAGAGCTCTCAGCTCGAGTGTCATCTCTCAAATCGTCTTGAGTAATCGATGTTACAGAGTTAAGTTCCTTAGCTTCATCGCATTCGTTGCAGACCAGTTTCAAAGCTGCACTACTTCTCCCATGAAAGGACGGTGCGATACTTCCGGTTGCACGCACATCGAAGCTATTGCTGCGACTTTAGCTATGCTATCGAATGGAATCTCGGGTTGTCCTAGAGACTGATCTATTATAGCTTCAAGCCCTTCTCTGCTCGTGAGAAGAGACCGAGTCCATGAAACTAAATTCTCTTGTCCTGGTGGCTGAGACATATCCACCGGTTTCCTCCCCGTAAGTAGCTCGAGAAGCACAACTCCATAGCTGTACACATCGCTCTTCACCAATAGATGCCCTGTCATTGCGTATTCTGGCGCCACATACCTATCAAAAAGCAACATTTATAAGTTATAGATTGGAACAGGAAAAAGACAAGAGCTGGTAAGGGGTTTGTTTCGATTCTGGTGTTTATTATCTTACCCGAAAGTTCCCATTACGCGTGTCGATATATGTCTGTTATCTTCATCATCGAGGGCATTTCGAGCCAGTCCAAAGTCAGAGACTTTAGGTGTGAAATCGTGCTCAAGCAAGATATTACTGGACTTGAAGTCTCTGTGTATAACTCGCGGGCTCGAGTCTTCGTGTAAATAGGCTAATCCACGGGCTGCACCAAGAGCTATCTTCAACCGAGCATCCCAATCTAAAGGTGAAGACTCTTTATCGATTCCTAAACAAGAAACAAAAAGAAAACAAGATATTAGTTACAATGATATTCAGTTTCCATTTACTTTTGGATATTCCATAGAACCAACAATCTGAATACCAGAGACCGTATTGGGGCATTCAAGGTCTGCAAACATACCATGGAGGTGCGAATCAACGCTGCCATTTGGTATAAGTTCATAAACCAAGGAACGGTTACGATCTTCGATACAGATACCGATCAAATTCACCAAGTTTCTGTGATGCAGACGGCTAAGCATTTCTACTTCAGCCATGAACTCTCGGCTACCTTGATGGTCATCTCTCTTCAATACTTTAACTGCTACTTTAGTTCCATCATCGAAAAGACCTTCATAAACCCGTCCAAATCCACCTTCACCAAGAACCCTCGACTCTGCAAAGTTATTCGTGGCTTTCGCTATCTCGCTCGCGGTAAATGTCTTCGCAGAGAGAGTAAATGGAGCAATGCTAGATTCAAATGACAATGAAGTTGAGCTGAATCTGCTTCCGGTTAAAGATCTCGCAGAACCTGCAAATTCCACCTTAGCTAAAGTCATTTCCTGTTTCTTTGAACGTAACTTGTTGAGGAAATAACTGTTTTTTACCTGATGGTTTCGAGAGGGAAGGCAGCGAAGGCCGAGCAAGTGTGGCTCTTTTAGAAACCCGGTGATCTCTTCGTCGCCGGAAAACCAAGAACCAAACGATGACGAAACACAAACCAACAAAAGCAGCAGCCGACAAAACAATCACAGCAATGCTTCCAGCATTGAGCTCTTTCTTGCGCAACTTCTTTGGAACATCAACTCCGAGCGGTTTTATCGCCCCACCGTTATTATTACCGGAGTACGGTCCTTGATCTATAATGGTCATACCGGAAATTGGCGGAGAAGCTGGTAAACCGGGATAACGCACGTAAATCACGTCGTATTGGCCAAAGATGGGTACATCTATGTAAACTTTTTTACTCCAGAATCTCTGGTAAGTAAGCATTGCTGTCATGTTATCAAATTTCTCTCCGAGTGGGACTAGATCGATAAGAACAATAGATTTCTCGGGTTGTTCACTAGCTGCGTTAGCTCCCATGATACGGACTTGGCTCTGTTTCATGAAAACTCCAGCGCTGATTTCCCGAGCGAATTCTGAAACCATTGGGAAGAAGTCGTAAAGCGCCATGCTAAGCCGGAGCTCAACCTGAATAGGCCAGACACAGCCACATGGAGATCCAGGAGGTGTGTTTGTGTACGGCTCCAAGCAAACGGTTGATGAACAATCTGCAGAAAACAGCAACAGAAAGTGGATTCAAGAACCCGAAAACGGTGTCCAGATAGATTGTTT